CTAGTAGCGATGCCCTTTGCTCCTAGTAGCGATGCACTTGTTCCTAGTAGCGTCCTTGCTCCTAGTAGTATGGCCAGGAGCCCCTAGTAGCTTCTTGTTCCTAGTAGCGATGCCCTTTACTCCTAGTAGCGTCCTTGCTCGTATCGAAGCTTGAGCGCTATCAATCACTACATCATACTCCATCTATCAGTCTATTCGTAGGGGTCCGACGTGCATCAAACTCACCATCAGTCGCAAAGAGACTGCATCGTTGCAGGCCCTGGCTCAAAAGGGAATAACCAGGACCCAATGCAAAGCAACATGGACTTCCAAATATTCAAAGACTGACTGAAAAATGGCTGGACAGCATTAAAGAAAAGGCGAGAGGGAAAGAAAGAAAGAAGGAAAGGTCTAAAGAAGAAAAGAAAAATAAAAAAATATAGAACAACTATGAAAACACATCTTTCTTTACATGGCTACAGTGACTCACGTCCCTTCTCACAGCTTCATCTTCTCACGTCCGGCCTGATGAGGCGCTCGAGTTTCTTCTCCATCGCTGACTCTTGATTCGCCACTCGCCGTGCCAATTCCTGCGCAGATGGCTTCAGGGATCCCGCTGTGCTCCTAGTGGGGTCAATGATGGTCAATGTGCGGGAGTTGGGATTGGTTTCAGTGGCAAGCTTCAAAAATAGGACATCAGAGGCGTCTACTCTCGGCTTTAAGCAATTAGTCCACAGTCATTCCAAGAAGTTTAGTCGGAAGAAAGGTCTCCGATGGAGATACGGGGGAAGGAAAATCGCGCCTCGTCATGATTCATGGCCGGACGCCGCAGTGGTGGAGAGCCCATCTGTACGAGAGTTGAGTAATGGCGCATGTATGACAATGCGGTGGAGAAATGCAATAGCCCATTAGATCTATGTCGCATAATGTTCTTTGAAATGATATTCGCCACCGGTTCGTTGATCTTCGTCTAACTAGGAGTGTTTCAGAATTCTCGAGGCCCTCGCCTCAGAAAATCGCAGGGAGCGGACAGATGAGCGGCTGACAGCCGAATGTGCAGGACTCACCTAGCAGTTGGGCAGCTTCAAGCATGAGGCGCCGGGGTTTTAGGGTGCTACTAGACATTGAGACAATGACACTTGCTGAAGCTTTCAAATTCTAGAGATCAAAATCTAGAGATTCAAGGTATCTGGCGGCTGTTTCAAAGAGTGGAGATGTGAAACTCTACTGCAAGGGACAATCGCGAGGTCTACTGAATCCAACTCAAACGCTCTGAGGCTGGATCGTCCAGAAACATCGACCTAACCTCTGCAGACTTGGTGATACTGAAGGCCCAAGGGCAAAGCAAAGCCACTTGCTGCATGCAACCATCAACAGAAAAGGGAAAGGAAGGAAGAAGGCTTCAAAACGTCTAAAGAAAGAAATTAAGAAACAAGAAGGGATGTTTAAAAAATGCACAAAGAAGATCCTCTTTAGAAGAAAAGATTCGTTCCAAAAAGAGTAGATTCGGTTCGAGAAGTAGTTCAATTCTCCGACAGTCTCTGGAGGCTCGGATAGATTCTCACGAACAAACCGACAACTATGGAGAATTGACTCAGCGTTTTGGCCAACTCTGAGGACTCAGAGTTGCCAATGCTCAGGACTCAGCCACCGCATCAGCCTCAGTGTTACAAATACAAATTTTCAAGGACAAGCTCAATGAGGTACCGATGCCGATGCCGGAAAAGTTTTTGAGCCAGTGTCCACACCACACGGCACTTGAAAGACATGGCGCTTGATCATGTAAGACAAAAACCAGAAGCTTAGCTACCAAAATTCGTAAAACAAACCAGACAAAGAAAGGTCTAAAGGTCCAAAGAGAAAGGAAAACCTAACAGCGATGGCCTCCAACCTAATAGAAGGTCTAACGGTCAAAATAAGAAGAAAGTACAAACAAAAACTGTAAGAAGAGAAAGAGCAAGGTCTAAGATTCCGTCCAAGCAAAGACTTTCCCGCACATCCAGGCTGTAACTTGTGTCCTTGTCGAAATGGCGGTAAATCAGGTAGAGCTGCTCCTGGCGATGGGCCCAAATGAATGCAAGAAATCACACTCTTGACCTCTAGACTCTAGCTTCTCTAGTTCTGTCTTTTCTTTGTAATCCTTTGAGCTTGCACATTGGCACTTTTAATACCTAGACAGTCGCCTAGACATATTACGTTTCCGGGGAGGCAGGAGAAAAAAACAAAGTGATAAAGCGAGAGAGGGAGATCGGATCCTGCACTGAAGTGCTGACTGTTTGCGCCTCTTTGGGTGGTCCATCTCGAGCAAAGCGACCCTGGACATGCATCGTGCCTCTGAGGGGACGATGAGGTTATAGTGCTGCAAGACCTGATCGCAAACGACCGCAGAAAACACATCACAAAACCCGCTTAGCCAACAGCCCAACGCAGCTGGACAAGCAATTGATTCATCGTATGATCTTGCCATTTCAAGTGCCAAGGGGCAGGCTAATTATTGTTGACTCAGAAGTCAGCACACAAAGTGAACAACAACGACAAGCGCCGGAGCCAAAGCAATACATATAGAACCGCCAAAAAAAACCACACACACACACTACTTAGATAGAGGGCTCGCAAGAGCATGACATCAGTTTTGGTTCTCCCATGTTCTCCCCTTTAGTGCAAGTAGACCTCGGCTGGTGAACCGAAAGGTGAATGAGTCGGCAGCAACAGTATTCTCACAAAGGTGAAACGTGAAGAGATTGTCAAAATTTATTGTAGGTACGCCAGGATGGCCAATCCTGGTATCCCGTGTTCAGACTAGCTTCGTTGGGCACAGTCATCTGAACACGCTACGCCCCCCTGCTGTCATGTGCTCCCTGGGAAACAGTGGCACACACACAACCACCGGCAGCTCCAAAAGCACACCTGGCTGATGAAAGAACGGATCTCGCCCTGGTTCCATGTGAGTTTGCCATTCCTCGGCTGCCAAAAGCCGATCGAAGCGAAGCGGCGAAGTGCTGCTGAGCGATCCTGTCGCGGTCGCACTCCTTGAAGAGCCGCATCGCTTCCTGAAGAAAAGACTTGGACGGAAAGACCTCCTCAACGGCAATGGCCTCCAGCCTAATAGCGGCCCCAAGTTTGCTAAGTGTGCTCGTCCTTGAGAAGCTCCCCGCTTTCGATGGCCATGATCATCCTGAAAGTTACGGAACTTGCGGAACTGGCACCACTCATGCCGACTCATGCCGTGCCTCTGCCGGTGCTGAGCATTTTGGGAGAGCACCGGCTTGATGTGGTTTGCCAACAAGTACAGGTTCACCGGCCTGGACTGAGCAGCTCAGCGAATCTCTCTCTGAACTTTTTTGCTACTCACTCAACCCTGTCCCCTTGCTGCTTCTGCTTAGGCTTTCATTCACCATCTCAAATGCAGCACATCGCCAAAAACTGAGTTTCGAACTCCTCGCCGTAGCTCACCTCGGCACAAACGTGGAATGGATACTTGTCTTTCGGCTTCATGAACATTAGAATTCTTGTTCTAGCAAACATTGTTACTACTAGTAAGGCACTTGTTACTAGAAGCGATGCACTTGTT